TGGGGTCAGTCAGTGAGTGTGTTTGCGTGCGTGGGGTCATGTGGGGGAGGGGGTTGAGGAGAGCGGGGAGGGAGGGGGGGGGTGAAAGGACTATTGTTTTAGTAACAGGTGTGTAATTTGGTCTCGGATAACAAGTCACACACACGCTCGCACACACACACACACACACACACCCACACACACACGCACACACATGCCTGTTTCACATACACATGTACGTATAGAACCATATGTATACATGCTAATCATACATCAAACCTTCTTGGCTGGTATTCATGTACTGCCGTTATACACCCGTGACAGGAAGCGGTATACAGCTTCCCACCACTGAATACCTCAGTAATAGTCTCCCGGATCTCTGACGCTCGGGTGTAATGGCCCATTAACCCGTTTTCCGCATTGTGACGTCATTTATTCACCTTGCCTTGTGGCGTCATTTACTCATCTTGCCTTGTGACGTCATTTACTCACCTTGCCTTATGACGTCATATTCTCACCTTGCCTTGTGGCGTCATTTTCTCCCCTTGCCTTGTGGCGTCATTTACTCATCTTGCCTTGTGACGTCATTTACTCACCTTGCCTTATGACGTCATTTTCTCACCTTGCCTTGTGACGTCATTTTCTCCCCTTGCCTTGTAGCGTCATTTACTCATCTTGCCTTGTGACGTCATTTACTCACCTTGCCTTATGACGTCATTTTCTCACCTTGCCTTGTGACGTCATTTACTCACCTTGCCTTGTAGCGTCATTTTCTCCCCTTGCCTTGTAGCGTCATTTACTCATCTTGACTTGTGGCGTCATTTTCTCCCCTTGCCTTGTAGCGTCATTTACTCATCTTGACTTGTGGCGTCATTTTCTCACCTTGCCTTGTGACGTCATTTACTCACCTTGACTTGTGACGTCATTTACTCACCTTGCCTTGTGACGTCATTCCTCTTCGTGCGTCGAGACGTCGCTTAGTTAACATGATTGATGCCACGATGTTTTGAGTCTGACAATTGAAATTTGTGCCTCTATCACAGGACTATTATTATTATTATTATTATTATTATTATTATTATTATTATTATTATTATTAGTAGTAGTAGTAGTAGTAGTAGTAGTAGTAGTAGTAGTAGTAAGTGTTAGGTCTTTTCACAGACATAATAACGTCTAATCATTAGACGTTGTGATATAAGTCTCGTCGTCATCACACACTCAGACCGTGATAAGCACTCAGGAGAGTGCGAAAGACTTGCTGTAAATTCCTTACATAAATTTCACAAATACACAAGTGAGGGTTTTTATCCTATGTTATTATTATTATTATTACTGCTGCTGCTACTATTGTTATCACTACAGTCACTATTACTACTTATACTATTACTAAATATCACTATTGCTACAATGACTCATTGAAATTGGACAATATGGCCAAAAGTTACTTGTTGTTCCTGCCCTATAGCTGTCCCTCTCTTATAGTAATTCCACCCCATAGCATCCAGGGGCCAGATTCACGAAGCCGTTACGCAAGCACTTACGAACCTGTCCATCTTTTCTCAATCTTTGGCGGCTTTGTTTACAATTATTAAACAGTTAATGAGCTCCGAAGCACTAGGAGGCTGTTTATAACAATAACAACAGTAGATTGGGAAGTTTGCATGCATGTAAACTGTTTAATAAATGTAACTAAAGCCGTCAAAAATTGAGAAAAGATGTACACGTTCGTAAGTACTTGTGTAGCTGCTTCGTGAATCTGGCCCCAGGTGTGCTCCCCACCAGAGGCCCCCGCTAGTGTCACGGCCAGTGTGCTCATGTATGTATAAAGGACGTCAGTTTTAAATTAAATCTTTCGCGGCGAGTCCTGAGAGTTTATCACCTCATTGGTCAGGATCGTGGCAGGAAAATATTTGTATTACATATATTAGTATTACATCATTAATAAGTTAATAATGTTATGATATTTCTTCTTTTTTTAAAGATTCAATAATATATATTTTTATTTAATATTTAAATATTTAAAAAGTCAATAGGCTGAATTATACTGGTAGGAATGTGTACACATAATACCCGACGCGGGTGAACGCTTCCTGTCCATTTACGTGAGACAAACGGTATGAGACAGTTGCCAACCTACCACTTTAGATACCAATATTCAGCAATAATGTTCATGGCTTTTAACAGTAGTTCATTAGCCAGGTATTCTTTATTCATACAATAGCATATTTTAGTGTTAAATACTAGGCAAGTAAAACGACAAAACTGCTACACACAACTTTTATATAATTTAGTGCTTTTTGTGGTGGTTGTGGCGTCGTGTGAAATACTGAGTTGGCAACTCTGCCTGTGTGTTTCAGTGGCATTAGTAAAGTGGTGGCTGGTGGTCCCGGGATTTCTAATACAGAAGCATTTTTTCTCACAAACAACCCCATTGTGGCTTCTAAGCAAACAACATTGACTTCCTTCTATCGTAAACAAAATGAGGAGTGTAAGAAGAATAACATACAGGAGACTGATAATGATCACAGTGAAAGTGACAAAAGTTGTTTTTCGACTGCCTCTAGTTCAAATTTTCAAACTGGATCCATGTGCAATTCAGAAAGTAATGGTGGTTTGAAATCTAACTTGTATCCCTGTTAAGGTGTTTGGACTGAATAAATGTGGAAAAGAAGGAAACCTATCCATGGTTAGACTTTAGGGATGATAAACGTGGGTGTAAAGTGTGTGTGCAAACATAAGCAATGTAACTCTTTTCACTTCTAAGGGTTTAAGACGTAAGATATATATAGAAACAGTATAAGGAATGACAGGCTTTTGTGAGTCCCCGCAGAGGTCCGACACCTATACAATTGGCACTGCTTCCCTGACTGTTTTGTACCCACAGAGGCACTCACCCACCCACACCACCTATCCACCACGCTTTCCAACAATCTACCAATACTCTCCTCCCACCTGCCCACTTACACAGACCCAGACAGAATGCACCCACACAAGCACAAACACCACCCACACACCCACAAACACCACCCACACACCCACAAACAACACCCACACACCCACAAACGCTACCCACACCCCCTCTCTTTCATCATGTAAGACCAATTTATGTTATGTGTGGTGTTTCCTCTTTCGCGATATATGTACACAATGTTCGAAGGCTTAGAATTATAGGTCTGTCTGCCTACTTGACTGTCTGTGTGTCTGTGTTTGCGAGCTTACCTACCTGATTGTCTGTTTCCCTATTTACCCGTTTCACTGCCTACGTGTTTAGCTATTTGCTTGTCTACGTGTCTGTTCGTCTGCCTGTCTACCTTCTTGGTTGCCTTTCTTGATGCTTCGTTGCCTGTCTGCCTGCTTGGTAAGCTGTTTGTTTACCTGCCTGCCTGTTTGCCTATCTACGTGTCTGCCTGCTCTTCTCTATACTTCCTACCTCCCAGTCACACTTCTTACTTGTTAGACAAACTTGTCAACCAGACAGCCTGCCTGCCTGTCAGCCAGACAGCCTGCCTGCCTGTCAGCCAGACAGCCTGCCTGCCTGTCAACCAGACAGCCTGCCCGTCTGCCAACCTGCTTGTCACCCCTGCCAGCCGACCTCTGCCTACATGATTAGTGTGATTTAAACCATTTTTCCATAACATCTTATTCTTTTCTTTCTTATATTTTTTGTAATTATTATTGATGTTGTAGAGGATATGTTAGATGTATCACAACACGTGTCCTGGCCTGTGTTATGACCAGTTATAATCTCACGGTGTATTTAGGTGTACAGGTGACCTAGTTAAGAACATGGGGAATTATTAACATACACTAAAGGGTGGAAAGCAAGCATTCGGAGATATAACTACTCGACTCTGAGAAAGAACAATTAATTATTAGAAAACATTAATGAGAAAACACTTAATAATGAGAAAAATTCTGAGAACGACCCTGAGATAGGAATGTGTATTATACACTGTCGAAGTTTAGTCATTGCAAATCGTTCAAATAAAATCACGCAAAATAATTATGAACAATCAGAGCGTCGTATTCAACAATATAATGAGGATTAAAAAGTATATAATCTAGCATAAAAATACAAGTTTTAGATATTCCAAGTTTTAGAGATAATATGTTCTAAATATACTTGAGCTCAGAAAGCCCCCGTTTGGAGAACTTACGGTCAAAACCTGGACAAATATACGTAATGGAACGTGGGACCACAAACTAAACATTCACCGGATATTTGAAGAAAAATGTGCTGGAACGTGATGTTAACATGAGCACGCTAAATGGTACCTGACCTGACGATGGCTGGTTGGGCAAGGTGAGCCCTGGTCCCCTCCCTCCCTCCCTCTCAGGCCACTTCCCTCCCTCCCTCCCTCTCAGGCCACTTCCCTCCCTCCCTCCCAGGCCACGTCCCTCCCTCCCTCCCTCTCAGGCCTGAGAGGCCTGAGAGGGAGGGAGGTGGTCGTCCCTCCCTCCCTCTGAGGCCACTTCCCTCCCTCCCTCCGGGGCTACTTCCTTCCCCCATCTCCCTCTCCTGAGCCACTTATCTCCCTCCCACCCCAACTCCCCTCCCAGGCAGATCCACACCCCCCCCTCTCCCTTCCCCAATTACCTCCCAGACCAGAGCCCGGGGGCCCGGGGCTCCGACACTCTCACACGCTAAAACGGTTCAAGACATTTTGACCTTATCTTTCGGTCATTCATTTCTCATCAACCATCAGTGTCAGTATACCTTCCCTGTATACTGACACTTGTCACAGTCTCTCTCTCTCACCTTCCCTGTATACTGACACTGGTCACAGTCTCTCTCTCTCACCTTCCCTGTATACTGACACTTGTCACAGTCTCTCTCTCTCACCTTCCCTGTATACTGACACTGGTCACAGTCTCTCTCTCTCACCTTCCCTGTATACTGACACTGATCACAGTCTCTCTCTCTCTCTCACCTTCCCTGTATACTGACACTGATCACAGCATCTCTCTCTCACCTTCCCTGTATACTGACACTGATCACAGCATCTCTCTCTCCCCAACAGGAAAGATGTGACCCAGAGGAATACGACTTTGAAGATGTTCTAGGTAAGTACACACACGGTGGGTGTTTCCATAGTTTGTTTGTGTGGATTCGCTGAGATATGCCTCAAAAAGGCAGCTCGAGAGACATCCATTACTCATAATTTTTTTTGGAAGAAGTGATGTGGAAGAAATTTATTGTGTGGAATGCAACGGTGAAGATAAACGTGATTGGCTGAGTTCGAGCAGTGGGGATATAAGGTCTCGTAGTCTTGTTTCTCTTAATTACAGGTGTCTGCCGGGATTCGTAACAGTGATGTATTTAGGGGGAATGAATAAGTTTATATTTATTTATGATGCGTTATTTTCTTACTTATTATCGTTACTGACCATGGTGCTACACCACAAGTATTGACCATGGTGCTACACCACAAGTACTGACCATGGTGCTACACCACAGGTACTGACCATGGTGCTACACCACAGGTACTGACCATGGTGCTACACCACAGGTACTGACCATGGTGCTACACCACAGGTACTGACTATGGTGCTACACCACAGGTATTGACCATGGTGCTACACCACAAGTACTGACCATGGTGCTACACCACAAGTACTGACCATGGTGCTACACCACAGGTACTGACCATGGTGCTACACCACAGGTACTGACCATGGTGCTACACCACAGGTACTGACCATGGTGCTACACCACAGGTACTGACTATGGTGCTACACCACAGGTATTGACCATGGTGCTACACCACAAGTATTGACCATGGTGCTACACCACAAGTATTGACCATGGTGCTACACCACAAGTACTGACCATGGTGCTACACCACAGGTACTGACCATGGTGCTACACCACAGGTACTGACCATGGTGCTACACCACAGGTACTGACCATGGTGCTACACCACAGGTACTGACTATGGTGCTACACCACAGGTATTGACCATGGTGCTACACCACAAGTATTGACCATGGTGCTACACCACAAGTACTGACCATGGTGCTACACCACAAGTACTGACCATGGTGCTACACCACAAGTACTGACCATGGTGCTACACCACAGGTACTGACCATGGTGCTACACCACAGGTACTGACCATGGTGCTACACCACAGGTACTGACCATGGTGCTACACCACAAGTATTGACCATGGTGCTACACCACAAGTACTGACCATGGTGCTACACCACAGGTACTGACCATGGTGCTACACCACAGGTACTGACCATGGTGCTACACCACAGGTACTGACCATGGTGCTACACCACAGGTACTGACCATGGTGCTACACCACAGGTACTGACCATGGTGCTACACCACAGGTACTGACCATGGTGCTACACCACAGGTACTGACCATGGTGCTACACCACAGGTATTGACCATGGTGCTACACCACAAGTATTGACCATGGTGCTACACCACAAGTATTGACCATGGTGCTACACTACAGGTATTGACCATGGTGCTACACCACAAGTATTGACCATGGTGCTACACCACAGGTATTGACCATGGTGCTACACCACAAGTATTGACCATGGTGCTACACCACAAGTATTGACCATGGTGCTACACCACAAGTACTGACCATGGTGCTACACCACAAGTATTGACCATGGTGCTACACCACAGGTACTGACCATGGTGCTACACCACAAGTACTGACCATGGTGCTACACCACAAGTACTGACCATGGTGCTACACCACAAGTATTGACCATGGTGCTACACCACAGGTATAGACCATGGTGCTACACCACAGGTACTGACCATGGTGCTACACCACAGGTACTGACCATGGTGCTACACCACAGGTACTGACCATGGTGCTACACCACAGGTATAGACCATGGTTCTACACCACAAGTATTGACCATGGTGCTACACCACAGGTACTGACCATGGTGCTACACCACAAGTATTGACCATGGTGCTACACCACAAGTATTGACCATGGTGCTACACCACAAGTATTGACCATGGTACTACACCACAAGTATTGACCATGGTGCTACACCACAAGTATTGACCATGGTACCACACCACAAGTATTGACCATGGTGCTACACCACAAGTACTGACCATGGTGCTACACCACAAGTACTGACCATGGTGTTACACCACAAGTATTGACCATGGTGCTACACCACAAGTATTGACCATGGTACTACACCACAAGTATTGACCATGGTGCTACACCACAAGTATTGACCATGGTACTACACCACAAGTATTGACCATGGTGCTACACCACAAGTATTGACCATGGTGCTACACCACAAGTACTGACCATGGTGCTACACCACAGGTACTGACCATGGTGCTACACCACAAGTATTGACCATGGTGCTACACCACAGGTACTGACCATGGTGCTACACCACAAGTACTGACCATGGTGCTACACCACAAGTATTGACCATGGTGCTACACCACAAGTATTGACCATGGTGCTACACCACAAGTATTGACCATGGTGCTACACCACAAGTACTGACCATGGTGCTACACCACAGGTACTGACCATGGTGCTACACCACAAGTATTGACCATGGTGCTACACCACAGGTACTGACCATGGTGCTACACCACAGGTACTGACCATGGTGCTACACCACAGGTACTGACCATGGTGCTACACCACAATTAGGTATTGATTATGGCACTACACCATAAATATATGCCTGACATTTGAATGACAGCCTTGTCGAAAGGATAATTGATCAACCAGGCTGTGATTCTAACGTCAGGCTGCGAGCAGTCCCGTCCAACAGTCTGGTTGACCAGACGACCAACCAGGAGGCCTGGTCAGAGACCGGGCCGCGGACATGTTGAGCCTCGGATCCACCACAAGGTAGCCATATTCTGTACATCAGCACTACTGTTATATTCATATAATATCTACGTATTGATAATCGTTTTCTTGTCGAGATAAGTTGGAAAACGCGTAACTTTTTTTAAGTTGCAATAATTTAGGCAAATTAAGGCTTGGTTTACCTAGTCTTGCACAGCAAGACTGATTCAGGGCTGATAAGTGTGTATTCTGCCATGGGGATAATATTGGCGCCATATAGCGACTGGCAGGTAAAGGTCCTTCCTCACTTCCTTCTGTAAGTCTCTGTGGTGCACTAACCCTAGTCTCCTTTAGACACCTCTTGTCTTTATTACCCGCCTTCCCTATTCCTCTTGTCTGTGTAAACCTTGTAATCAGTCCTCCCTCCTCCCCCCTGCCACAACCACACTCTTAATCTACCACAGAAAAGCAAAAGTCCGTTTTTAATGGAGTGCTTGGAATACCTTTGAGAGGGTTGCCGACTAGCACCTGAGGAGTTGAACTAAATGCCTTTATCTTGGCTGCTTTCTGAGTGCACCCAACTGTAACAACATCACTGTCGATCCACAAATCTCAAAGAGCTTCATGTTATTATAATACTTTTCCAACTAGAGAGCGAAATAGACAGATTGAAGAAATAAATAACCAACTGGCTTCATCAGTTCACTAACCTTCGATGATGTTGGGAGCTTCGCACTCACCAACGCATCTCACTCCACTGTCCGTCTCAACACACGAACGAATCACGCCTCCAACACCTGCAATTCGGTATTATACGACACACACCAGGTCAGATAATAGCAGGAGAGTAGAGGAAAAGAGGCGGTTGGCAACGTGGGAGCGTGGGGAGTGAGGTGAGTATGTATGTAGCGCGCACCTTGTGTCTTACCCAGTGTGCCGGGTGGCAGCGCTCATACACTCGCTTGCATCAAGCAGTGCGTCAACATGTGTTGCCACGGGTGGAGCTAACACCGGGTGTGTGTATGTGTGTGTGTGTGAGTGAGTGGATATAATAGCCACGTATAGCATGCGATGCACCGAGATTTACCGAATAGATACGTTCACCTCATAAACTATAATCTGTGGTTTCTAGGGTAAGTCTACTTGAGCGCATTTGTTTCAGTTATTTTATATTTACTAATTACAGTAAGTTAAACTGTTGGCATTATTTAGTTCCCCCTAGAGCTGAGTTCATCATTTATACACGAGAGAATAATGGGTGATGTCTGTGATCAAATACTCAACAGAAGTGTGTGTGGTGCGAGGCTGTGAGGAACAACAGTCTTCTCACTCTCACCAGTTACTTTATCAATTCTCGTGTTTTTGAGGATGCCCTCATAATGCACCTCAAGTTTGCCAGTCAGGCTATAGATAACAGGTCCCCGTACGGCTAATCATCCTGTGGGATGGGGAATTTTAGCATCACATAGCAGGCTCTTGACATAAGCTATGTAGCCCTTCAAACAGTTCAGAGTAGCTACATAAATACCTATTTATGACAATTATCTTCATACATTAATAGTGTATGTAAATACATTAATAGTGTATGTAAAGAAGCACTAAGATAAGAGAAGATTATTGGAAAATGTCTAAACAACTGCCTAGTAGGCGTACTGATCCATGCTCTGTTTACACCTAATGGTGTTTACTAAGATATATATTCAAGCTAGGCTATTCTTGAATCTTAACACGCTATTGGCTTCAGTGGCGCTTCAGATTTGTTTTGCTCATCTTCTCTTCTACTGCCAAATGAAATCATATCTCTTTCCATTACAAATTAAAATTTGTCTAATTTGAACAAATTGTCGCTTTTGTCTCTACTTTGTTTTTAGTACGACTTTAATCCGCTTTATTTCTACCTTTCATCTATTTATGCACCAATAATACCAGCCCTTAACCTACACCCTGTAAGACCAAGCTGTTTCGCATAGGTCATTAGACCACCAGTTTCCTGTCTTCCTCAGTTCTTATTAGCTTTATGATGGTTGTGAACTATGGGACCCTCAAAATGTTTGCCTTGGTAAGCTACATCGTGAATGGAGGAAATGTTGAAGGCGTATTTCAGGAGTTTATCCTCGCACCCATTGCAGTCACAGGTCCAGTCTGATGTTCACACCTACACTTGAAAAAAATAATTCACAAACTAATGATATACTTTATGGCTGAGGGGAATCAGCCGTCCAGCAGTCACCAATAGCTCTTTTTTCTT